CTTTTTCCGTGCCAGAAGCGCCAGCAGCGTCAACTGTATTTCTCCAAAGAGGCTTGGAATGTGCTTTGCTCCAGAAAGGAGATCCGCAAGCAATATAGAGCCTTGCAACGTGAGAAAAGAATTTTGATTTTGAGTGCCATTTGGAAGGCATGGAAAGGAAACGTGCCGGAATATCAAACAGATGAAACATTTCGCATGCCTTTGCATTTTCTGAGATGCCAAGAAGCTGTCACCTTAGAAGCGCGCATCAGGGTGGACCATGACTTCAAATGCATCAAAAGAAGAGATTGGAGGCAGTGGATAAAGCAACAACTTGTCGACAAAGTTGAAAAGGCCAGGGGAGTGCGTTCAGCGGAGTTGTTCAAGATCTTGCGCCCCAAGCAAATGATTGCCAGAAGCACCGGCAAACTGATTCGTCAGCTTCCCGGACTATGTGGGGAGGATGGACAATGGAAAAACAACAGAGATGCCATCGCTTTGGAATGGCAAACGCAGTTTGGAACCATTGAAAACGCTGAGGAGGTTACAGCAACAGAATTGCTTCAACGTTCAGTTTCAAGACATGAAGATTGCTGGCAAGCACTGGACCTCCTTTCAGTTCCTTCCCTCTACCAATTAGAATCAGCAATCAGAGCACTACAGGCAGCCAAGGCTACAGGCCTTGATGGCCTAGGAGCGGAAGTGCTTCAAGCTGATCCAGTTGTAGCAGCCAAAAAGTTGTACCCGATCTTGTTAAAAGCAGCGGTCAGAGGCCAAGGCGTCATGGAGTTCGCAGGTGGATGGTTGCTGCCATTGTTCAAAGGACGGGGCAACCCGCAAAATATGGCTGGTTACAGAGCAATACTTCTGGAATCTGTTGTATCAAGAGCCTTTTCGAAGGCATGGAGACCACTGATCACGGAAGGATTGGCAAGAGTGGCGCGACCCATGCAGTGGGGGGGCAGACAAGGACTTTCGATTGAGGCACTACACCTTCATGTTCATTTCTGGAAAAGGAATGCAAAACATCAGCGCAAGTCTCATGCAGTTATTTTCCTTGACATCAAAGCAGCGTTTTACTCTGTGGTGAAACAGTTGGTAGCAGGCACAGCCTCCGGCATGCAGAGCTTGGAAAAAGTGTTTGCAAAGATGAATTTACCAACTGACATGAAAGAGGAGTTTCTGCAGCAGACGAGGGGTGTCAATCTCATCAAGGAGGCTACAGGATCAGCTGTCATGGCCAACAGTGCAGCGGCAATGTTGGGCTTAACATGGTTCGTGATACCAGAATCAAAGTCGCTGCAAGCGCCCATGACCGGCTCAAGGCCGGGAGACCCTAGCGCAGATGTGCTATTTTCGCTGGTCTTATCCAAGGTGATAGGTGTGATTGAAGAAAGAGCACAGCAGATTGGCATTCAGCTTTCACGTGAAACGACAGCTGGTCAAGTCTCGAACATGGTCACCTGGGTGGATGACATCGCTTTTTCTATCACCGAGGATGCTGATCGTTTGGTGGGCAGAACCATGGATTTGCTGGGCATAGTACAAGATGCAATGCTGGAGCATGGTCTGTCCCTTTCTTACGGGGTTGGAAAAACAGCAGTGATGATCTCGTTTCATGGAAAGGGAGCGACTGTTGCACGGCAGGAAGCAGAGCAGAAGCATGGTCAAGGATTGGCATTGATGAGTGAGCACAAGGGCAAAGTGATCATCCCGATCGTGGGGCATTATCGACATCTTGGCGGCTTCATCACAAGATCGGGGTCGAGAATCCCGGAGTTGAGGGTCAGAACTGTCGGTGCCCTATCCAAACTCAAGCCGTTGCGACGGATTCTGGTTCATGAAGGTCTCAAAAAGGAGCAGAGAAGTCGGCTCATCAAAAGTTTGGGCTTGTCAGTTTTCACATTACACGCTGGCACACTTTTTGCTCTTACCCAAGGTGAATACCAAGTTTGGCAAGCGGGTATTTACAAAATCTACCAATCCCTTCATCAAAGAAAGGCAAATGGTGAGTTGAGGCACTCCACCATGTATCAGCTAGCTGATGCGATGCAGTCACCTATGCCTTTGGAACTGATGTATCTTTGCAGGCTGCGTTTATTGGTGCATCTTTTCAAGACAGGAGATGCATATATGATTGCGGCGATTGTGGAGAATTTTGAGATTGAGAAAGAGAACTCGTGGCTTCAAGGGGTCTTTCACAGTTTGAAATGGTTGAAAAATCAAGTTGGCGCAGAGCAGGTGCCAGAGGAGCTTTTTCAGCTGATGGACCCGCAAGTTTGGAATTGGTTTCAAGCAGGAGCTCATGAACTCAAGGGTTTGATCAAAAAGGCAGAGCAATCTCACTTGTGCAAGATCAAATCATTTTGTGAGTTGAAAACTCATGCGGAGTTGCAAGATCAACTCTGTAGAGAAATGGGATGGACCTTGGAGGAGGAGAGTGAGAAAGAAGAGGAATCCAGCACAAGTGCAGGCCTTCATGAATGCACTGAATGTGGGGCGATGTTTGACAAGGCCTCTTCATTGGCCACCCATGAGCAGCGCAAGCATAACAAACGAGTTGCTCTGAGGAGGGTGGCATGTGATGCAGCATGTCGTGCATGTGGTCGGTTTTACCACACGCGGCCTCGCATGATCAAGCATTTGCAGATGGCGAAGTCAGGGTGCTGGATTTTTCATTTACGGAATTATGTTCCCATGTCTGAAGAGGCAGCAGCCGAGCTTGATGAACATGACAGAAAGAGGGGAGTGGCTGCTCATCAGAAGGGGCTTGTGGAGCACTCCTTAGATCAAGGTTGGCGCTGGTGCACTGATCAGGAGAAAAAACACATTTTGCCTTTGAAGGAACACCCTCCTGTGCAGGATGGTGCACCAACGGAGCAGGAGCTGGAGGAATGGGCAGCTCTGGGTATGTTACCTCCAGGGCAAGGAGGCAGACAAATCACATTGAGAAATGCCAATGAATGGACGGTGCACAATGTGGGACAAGAAGCAACCAAATTGGAGCATCAGCTCCTTGACAGGGCCACCAGATGGAATCCGAATCCGGATTGGATCCCTAGGGGGCCAGCAGATGGAAGACGTTTTTTCCTGATCCTTTTTTCAGGACATCGTCGTTTCGAGGATCTGGCTTCATACATTTGGTGGCAATCAAATTTAATCCCGATTTGTGTGGATGTTGCCATCCACCCAGAGTTTGGCAATGTCCTGGAGATTGGACTCTGGCGTTCACTTATTCATGCCAGACGAGTCGCAGGGGGGCACGCAGGCCCCCCATGCGAGACATACTCCCTGGCCAGATGGTTGGAACTTGAAGACAGCATTTATCCAAGACCTTTGCGGAGTTGTGATCAGCCTTGGGGATTGGATGGAAGAACGCTGAGAGAGACACGGCAGTGGATGATGGGAAACATCCTGATGTGGCGTGCTCTTTTTCTTCTTTTCACCATCTATGCATATGGAGGCTCATTTACCTTGGAACACCCAAAGGGCTGTGGAGGTAAGGACAACAAGTGGACCATATGGGACTCATCCTTTATCAAACAGCTCATGTTGGCAGGGGACATCAAGCTTTGGGCAATACTCCAAGGCCCGTTGGGCCAACCATTTGCCAAACCAACCAATCTTCTGGCAGCGAGGTTGGAAAGGTTGGGGGCGGCCATCTATGAAGGCTACAACAAGCGATGGCGGCCGACGACAAAGCTTGGGGGCCGTGAAGGCTCCCAGTGGAAAACGGCCCGTGCAAAGGCATATCCACCAGCTTTGTGCCGCATCCTTGCGCAGCAGCACATTGCCTTCGCTGAGCAGCAAATTGGGGAGGGAACAACCCAGGAACCGGAAGGTCTGGAACAAGCATTGCAAGCACTGGCGAATTCCTATGACCCTTATTGGCTGGAAGCGAAGGGCACAAAAATGTGCTCAGACTACAATTTTGGAAAGATTTCAGAGGACTCAGTAGTCACCTAAAGGGTGAAACGAAAGGCCTCTGTTAATTTGAGTGCAACAGTCGTGGGTCGCTCACCCAGAGCTTTTGTGTCCCATGATGCATGCAGGCGACTGCAAGATGGTCACAGACAGAGTGGAATAATAAAAAAAATACTATATGTATATATATATATATATGTACATATACATACGCCTTCGATGGGTTCCTTTAAGGATCGTAGGCCATTTCTCATCATGATTCATGTCCCAACAGATCAGTGATCACAATCAGGGTGTCACTGGCTGAGGGTCATCTTTTGGAATTTTTGGTCTTTGATTTGTTTCACTAATTATATAGATATCTTAATCATGTGGCCTTTTCCCAGGCCATGAATTTCTACCAACCTGGGCTGCTGAGTTGACGATCTGCCAAGTGAAACTTCATCTGAAAGTTGAAACTGTTTTCTCAATGGAATATTCGGCGTGATCTGGCGAATATGGATGAATATGGTCTGTTTGCTCGACTCTACTCGCTGTTGAGCGCTCATGCTGCCTGTACATTAAGGACCCTTGCATGTTCTCACGACTTTGCTAGTGACATTGACAGACGCGATCCTTTTCGCAATCTGTGCATGTGTATCATGCCTTCATGCTCGAGAAGAGCCCAAGTGTTTTTCGCTTGAGCTGCGCCCAAACATCTCACTAGGATTTCATGTCTGTTCAACTGCGTGGGTGTGTTTCACATTTGACGTACCTTTCATGTGCCGGGGGAGCACAGCACATCATTTTTATGTGTGCATCCAACCAAGCTACAAGTGATGTGTTTGAAACTACGTCGGATCAGCGCAGGGCACCGGCTAAACCAAGACGAGGTTTTGCAATCCATGCGTGTGGTTTTGCCTGCATGGTGTCTCAGATACCGATAGGGACGACCTACACCAACATCACCGAGGTCTGTTTGAAGTCTAGAATTTGATTTGATGTTCACGGAGTGCGGCGCGTGCGGCGCGTATGTGTGCGTGTAAGCACGTGTGTCCGTGTGAGCTTATGCCCATCCTAAAGGTTACCCAACGAATCCGCCATCCGCATGCCGGCAGGATGTGTCAACCTGGCTGCAGGTGGAGCAATCTTGATCCTTAGATTTCTGACGTCTTTCGTATATTTCACACCTAACACAGGATTCTCGTGCTAAAAAAACAGTTTTTCGTTTGCAGGCTTACGATTACCAGAACTATCATGACGCAGTGTCTACGGCGTTTGCTGCAGTGGTCACGCAGATTGGAACTGGCACGGCCCCAAGACATCTTTGACCATCCTCTTCAATGCCTGCAGCCTTTGTTTATGTCTCGGATTCGAGGACTTTAGATTAACCCTCTGGTAAACTAACATAACTATGGAAAATCACCATTTTAAATATGTCAATCAACTATAAATGGCAATTTTCTAGCTATGTTAAATTCCCGGAGGTTAAATTCTTTTGAGAAGTTCATCCACTGTGCAGCCAACAATGTCTAGTGTGCCAGAATGACAAGACGAGAGCCGAGGACCATGGGGTGCTGGCTTGTGGCAGGGAGTTGGGGCCTAAAAATTCAATCCTTTTGATGGTGATGTGCAACCTGTGGAACAACTGTTGGGTGGCTTTGTCAGTGTGCAGATGGTCCCTTTAGATCTATCTTCATCTATTTTCTAGATAAAGTGTGTTCAATCACGAACTTCCTTGCATGAAAGGCCTACCAAGCAACCAAGCAACCAAGCAACCAAGCAACCAAGCAACCAAGCAACCAAGCAACCAAGCATATAAAATGCAAGTTTCGAGGGCGCATGAAACAGCGAAACAGCTCTTGACAAGGGTCCCAATATATACGCAGGCCCTGAAGAGCCCGATGCAAGGTACAGTAAAACATGATACACCATCAAATATCAACATGTATTAAGTGGTCTCATGTCTTTCATGTACGCCAGTTTGATTTAGATCTTGCTGGCACTGACATGCCGAGGATGCGCAGCAGTACTTCTTGACAGTCCGCCCCTGAATCAAATCTTATGGCCCCGGACTCTTAGACGTATCAAATTGTGATAAAAGAGGCAAAATTTGGGGCAAGCAGTCCCGAGGTTTGGCTTGCAACTAGTTTGCTTGACAACGTGCTGGAACCCAGTGGGTCTACCTTCCCTTCTCAAGTGGAGGTTTTCCATTTCCAATTGTGGTATGACCTGAGCTGCCTCCAGGTGCAGCTGGACTATTACATTTATGACCATTTCTGCGAGAATGCAGGTGCCAAAACTGCAGCCTGTGGGTGATTTTTTTTTCTGCTGATCCAGACTGAACCCGGCAGATTTTTGCAAGAAGACAGCGTGCTGCTGTGATGTCCTGTTCTTCAAAGCCATGGACTACGACATGATGCAAAAATGGGCAACACAATTAGCGATCTATATCGATATATGTTTTAGGTCCCTTGGTGTTGAGAAAAATATGAAACATGCATGTCGTGATATGAGTATGCGCCATATAAAAAAGGGCTCCGATTTTTTTGACGCCATGTTCAGGCAACAATTTAAAACAAGCTGGGCATGTGTGTTTTGATGTTCGTTGCTTTTGTTGTCTAGGTAAAGCATTTTTTTAAAGCCCATGGCTTTAGGGTATGTCGTGACACGACTCGACTGAAGGTCACCAGTGCTTTGTGCTTGGACAAAGCATGTGCCAGACCTGCATCCAAGACAGCGGCATGAGCAGCATTGCCTGGGCCTGGGATGGCCTGGGAATCATGCCGCACAGTTCAGCAACCGTACTGCGTGAAGGTTGCTGAACGGCCAGCTGCACGTTGAAGGAATTATGAAGTTTACGAAGTAGCTTCAGGGATTGCGTGATGTTATAACTTGACTGAGATTTTCAGTATATTTCAATATATTTCATGTGATTTTCAATGAAGAGAGTTCGAAGTCACCATTCTTCTTGATCGTGGCACTCAATGTTTGCTTCGGCACTGGGTGCTGCTAGCTGCCATGCCGAGATCAACAACCAGTACTGCGGTAGTCTTGGCGCACAAGGACTGGCTTTTCGTCGTTGCACCTTGCAGGGTGGATTGATGGCAGATTGCTCGCAAATTGCAGATTGTCAGCACTTTCCACCATGTTTTTTTCGGAATTTTTTGAGCCATGCAGATATGCTGGACAAGCTTGTCGACCAACCTGCTCGGAGCTTGGAGCATCTCTTGAGGTTTAGCGCATTTTGCTATTCAACCACCGCCCAGCAGTATACGTATTTTTCGCTGAGCGCGCAAAATCCAAGGTGGAACAGGTTTATTGGTTGGTGAAGAATGTTGGGCCTCCTCCTCATCAGGCCACTTTGACACAGGGGTTGCGGTGACACTGGAGCTGCGATTCGCAGCGGTAACCAGTGGATACCCTTGTGGTTAGAAAAGCGTGCTGTTGCTGATGTTTGAGATGGAAAAAATAGGCAAAAAATTAGAGTTGACCATTGAGCCATTGAGAATAAAGGCCCCAAAAAGATGCCTCAGTCGCAGTGCTTTTCCAAAGTCGCGTCTGGCAGGTTTTTGACTTGATTGGCAGCAGTGTCATGTGAACATCTTCCGCGACGATCCCGTGCCTCGGTCTGCGCAGTGTCCAACTCGATGCTGAACTGAGTGGAATGATTTTGGCGGAACGGCAGCGCGGAACGGCAGTCCCCTGGATATTTCCACTGAATATTCCGATTGTTTGTGTAGCCTCTGGTTATTTAACATAGCCATGGTATAGATGACCCATAGAAATAGATGGTTTACCTATTAATAGCATGGTGATTTTCCATGGCGAACTGTTAAATAACCAGATGGTAAGTTTACTTATGCCTAAGTTCCTAACTCCATAGCGGGCGAATACTTGAACGAGAGGAAATTCAAAGAAGACAAAGTATCAAGTGTTGAGTCATGGACTTTCTGAGGTTGATGTGCTTGATATGTGTAGCAAGCTCACCAAGGTCGCACGTGCCATTGCCCAACCTGTCATCTTTGACACCAGTAAGTAGCGATGACGAAATTAGTGCTGTACAGTTCGTATCCAGTGGGATTGGATTGCCCCCAATCCACCACAACTTTGCGGTCGCTCCTTAGGAGAAATTCGCATGATCCTCGCTCAGTCGATGTTTGTTTTTGGAGTAGCTGACATTGGAAAGAATCAGCCGGGCTAGAGCGGCTAGAGCCGCTGAGCCTGAGAGCATCTGAGAGCCTGAGCTGTCACAATCAAACAGACAAGTGACGCAAGTGCCGTTGCACATGCAGATAGATTAAGATAGATTTCGAGCTCCTTGGACCAAGCGCTGCCAGGCTTAAAGCTTGAGCGTCAGCTGACACTTCAAGTAGCTGAGCTTGGGAAATGGTTGGAGAGTCCCAAAAGTCGCAGGAATGTTTGATCCATTTTGATCCTATGCTTTTGCAATTTGCGAGATCACACAGATAGGAAGGTGATGGAACACGTGCCACTTTGCGATTCGTGCCATTCCTCTATGACTTGCCTTGAACAACTTGTCATCAGCAGCTGTATTCAGCTGAGAAAATGAATCATAATGAATCCCTGAAGCTGGCAAGCCACAATTTATTTGGTGTGTTGATGTTTTGTTCTCAAATCACGATCCATCATATTACATGATTTACATATATTTACATGGATGTGTGCAACATGCGACAACTTTGGTATTTTGCAAGGCCTAAGGGCTTTCTTTTTTTTTCAGAAAATCGCAAGCGATACGATACACGCGTTGGACAAATCACAAACGAAACGCGGAACTCATGCTTTGCCATGGGCTGTGGAGCACACGGGTCCAAGCGATTCTCAGAGGCATGGCTTGGTTCGCCATGGCGGCCATGGGTAAACACATCGCGTGTTTCTGCTGACGCAGGCAGAAGTTGCCACCAACCAGTTGCGTGGCATTCCGACCACCAAAGATATTGAGAGTGCAAGGTGCATCTTCCCACGACAGCACTCGTGAGTCGACTTGGTGGAATGCCAAAGACTTGTACTGTGGGTCGTTTTTTCTGGGTCGTGTACGTGTTTGGCAGGTCGGAAGGCCCAGATGTGGCATCCGGAGACTTCGAACATATACTCCAGGCATGTTGAAAAGTGTGTTTAACTGACGGTTTGGTGGAGTTCCATGTTGTGCAACAGCAGCAAAACACCAAAATTGAAGCATTACACGCGCAGGAGACCCCAGATCACCAGTTTGTGCTAGGATAACACTCCAGGTCACAACACAGAACCACACAGCATGTAGGTGTCCGGATATCACAGGGTTTATTTTTCAAAAAGAATGTTTTGAACTTTTAGATCCTAAATCCATCTAAATCCATTTTTTGCTGCAAATGTGCTGATTCAATTATCTTTGTGCGGTCGCGTCAGTTGAACGTTGAAATTCCTGAAGGCATGATTCGCCCCACAGTCTTCTCAGTAGAAAACCAACATTTTCCGTATTTTTCTTTGAACAACATTTGAACGAACTTAAACTTACTGTACGGGTGAAGTAATTATGTGGACAAAGTGTCCTGCTAAAAGGCGTGGGATTGTTCCAAAGGTTTTTGATCAGGCAACCTTGATTTGTACATCCAAGTCTCCCTGAAAAACTGTTGCGCATGTATGCCAAAGAAAGGTTCCTCGTTCTCCCGAGCAAAGTCTTTCTCTTACGAGTGTTGTAAATATGGTTTTGAGATGCTTTCAGTCTCAAACAATTGTGTCATGAGAAGGCCTTCATGCAGTGCTTTGGATACAGGATAGCTACACATCGACTGTGAAAATATGGTAGTGTTAATTCACTATGAATATATATATATTTTATTATATATATACACATAATATGTATATATATATACACATATATATATATATATCTATATCTCTATCTGGGTGCACTATAGCAAGGCTACCTTTAGCTACATCCATATCTGTTACAATATGTTAAAATATTGTGGAAAGATGACAATGCCTGGAGCTTAAGGTTAGTGACTGTTTGGCTGCAGCAGAAATAGTGAATGAACAGATGAATGGATTGATGAAATAGATGGATGGATGGATGGATGAATGGATGGACAAACCGCAACGATACAAGCAGAGTGAAACAACTCCCACCCCCCACGTGACCACACAGCCGACAACAGAAGCTGCAACACAGTCGGCCTCCCATTTTTCATGGAACAGCCCATCGTACCAAATGGCCAGAAGCCAGAGATACGACCTACAATCGCCAACCCCGTCCCCTCCCGGCGAAAATCTTCGTACCATGGACATAGGCCGGATAGGCGATCCGCATGGCCACAGGCCAGGTGTATGATCCACAACCCCATGGTGGTTCTAATTCCACAGGGGTGCTGCACCTGCCCGCAGGACGAATGCACAGCAAACCAGGAGAGTCCGCCCCCCCTGAGCATTTGCAAGCTAGCGATTGCAGTACATTCCCAGCAGCACATCAGCCCCTCCGCGCTGCTGTCATACTTGGCAAGGCAAGCGTTGGCCCCAAACACGACAGGGCTGAGGGCTGAGTAACCATTCTAGAACTCCCGGCCAGCAGTGTTCACAGCAGCATCCTTGCTATGCATGCTGTTTGGTATGGGATCAAATTTAGAGAAAAGCATGAACAGCAACACATGAGTAAAGCATATTACCCACATATGGACAAATGCCCAAGCCAAATCAATGCACAATGGCCTTGAAAGCCCCCACAAACACGCTCAGTGCCAAACCCATTCAAACCAATGTCAGGTCAGTATCAATCAGTGTCAAAGGCAGCGCGGCATCAATCAAAACGAAGTTCGGGTCAGGGGGGGACGTGCAAATGAACAGACCAGGGAGGAGTCGAACCTCCATGTTTTGCCGTGCGCTACAGTGTGTACACCGCGGCTCGCCGAGGAGGACGGCAGTGATTGTGGCCCAGACAAGCATCTGAAGTTCCCGAGCAGTTACACATGGCACCCGCCAGAAATTGCTTTGAGCGCTGATTCTGAGGACGCTCCCAGTCATTTGGTGCAACTGAAGACTTGAAAGATCCGCCATCGATCTCCAATGGAAGATCCTTCAAGGTTTCAAACTGATGGATCATTATGGATCATGATGGATCATTCTCTTGTGATGGTTGACTTTGCGGCACTCCAAGATCCAAACCTCATGGTTCTTTCTGAAGCCAAAGGTGATGGATGATATTGCAAAATCTATGCAATGCCAGCCATCATCTTCCCATCAGTGTCACTTTCCTCGTTCCATCTTCTCAAATATGGGCCAAAGCTGCAGCTAGAGAACTGGCAAAAGACGAGTAATCCTGACCATGAAGCTATTGGAACAAGGTGCAGTCACTCACCGGGCACTGAGTTCTGGGCCTCCTCAAAGTTGTGCAACCCGGTGATGGGAGATATGCGAACACACACGTGTAATCAAAAACACAGAAAGCTCTCTACGCCGTAGACTCTAAGCTGAAATTTAACATTGGTGCAATTGGCTTTCCTGGGCTCCGGGCTCTTTGGACACGTCTCCGTCGTCGACAGGATCCCTGGGCATTGAAGCTGCGATTCGCAAGCACTTCAACGCCAAGGCCGGGAAGAATTTCGGAGATCACGTCAGAATCAAGACCCGCTAAACGAGACATGACACTGGAGAACTTGCTGCGCATGTTGCCGATTCCACGATGAGGCGACGGAAGCTGCCCAGAACCACGACAAGGTAGTAGAGGTGGTGGTTGGCGACGCCCTGAAAAACCCAAGCTCCCAAGCTCGCCCGGCGCCCTCACCTGCGACGCAAGATGGTCGGACCTGCCGCAGCTCGTGGTCTACGGCCTCAAGGTCCGCAAGGACGGCAACACAGAGGAGGTGCGGCGAGAGCTGCACCGCCTTGGCTACAAGAGACCCCGCACCAGCCAGTTCCTGGCCGAGTGTAGCCAGTACCCGAAGCCGAACAGTTCCTGGACCTGGGGAGCATGGATTTTGATATTTTCAAGTCGCTATCATTTAATTTTTGACCGGCGCGGACGACAATGACATGCAACGACAACATGATGAATGATGATGGTGAATGATGATGATGATGATGATGATGGTGATGCCGATGATGATGATGGTGATGATGATGGTGGAAGAGGATGAGGACGATGATGACGAAGATGATGAAGATGATATGAACAATATCATAACATATTGTAAAGCCAATTTAGATATGGACGTAGCCAAATGTAGCCTGGCTATAGTGCATCCAGCTATATACATACGTATCTCAACACCTAAATATATCTATATACCAAATGATTACATAAATCAATAGAAACATATATTATATATGTATATTTCTTCAAATACATGTATATGTATATATATATATACACATATCTTTAAACATACATAAAACAGCATTTAATTATCGATATCTTGAGATGCATATATGTATTTTTGCATATGTGCGTCTTTTTTTTATTAAAAAAATAAATCTTTCTGATTTATATCTTACTACACACACATATATATATTCATTAAAGTATATATATATATATTAATATATCCCAATTTATCTTTGAATATATGTATATATATATATATTTATTTAGATCTATCTCTATCTATATTTATATTGATATCTTCTCGAAAGACTGGCAGTGAGCCCTTTCCACTGTAGATCCCCGATCACACCAAATCGTATTGAATGCCCTGGAAACATTTTGTTTATTTGCCGAGGAATTTGGGTTTGTACACTTGGATTCTACACAATTACATTTACATAAATGTAAATGGATATATAATATAGATATATACATATATACATATTTACATGTATACATATACACATATACATGTATACACATTTACATATATGCATGTATACATACACTCATACATATATACATATACATATATATATATATAGATATATACATATTTATATTTATACATATATATATATATACATACACATATACATATACATACACATATACATATACAAATACATATACACACATATATACACATATATACGTGTATACATATTTACATACTGTATATACATTTACATGTATACCTAGTAAGTAAGTATGCATGCATGCATGTATGTATAAATGCAACCGCCACCTTCCCAAGTGGCCAACCCATTGTGGCAGGAACTGGAAGCTGCAAAAAAATCTCGGATAGATGCAGAAGCAAAGGTGACGAAGGTTCCTGTGCTGCCGTGATCTGCCAGTTAACTGTCAGGTAAATGCTGTCCTACTTGCCAGGTAAATGTTGTGAACACCATGCTTGGAATCCTGCTGATGTTCGCAACATCTTTTCAAAATTGTTTTCAAAAGTGGACCAGAATCTTTGCAGAATGTCCGTTTGATGCCTCGAGATTCTGACAAAAGTCATCGCACCCCTTTTCATTGAACAATTCACGAACACAAGTGGCCATCAATTAGCCATGAATTCGCCATGAATATATCCATGAATTCATTACAATTGCCCTATCGATTCCCCATTCCACATCAGGTTCTGGCTCAAGATGCAATGCTGCGAGAAGAGCTGGAGCGATTCGAGGTGCACAGCCCTTTCGATCACTATCCTGTGATCGGAACGATCTGAACTGGAAGGCCACTGCTTCTGCAGAGGCTTCCCGGTCTTCCAGGTGACTCGATCTGGGTGTTCCTGGATGTTGCAGATTGTTGCAGTATTTGTGTATTCTACTTGTTTGATCTGTATTGCTGCGATTCCGACCCAAGGCTGGATGGTCGCTGTTCTGTTTTGGAAGTAGAGCTGCGGACTTACGTGTCGACAAATGGGCACGCTTGCACTGTGTGCACAGCGACTATGCGAGACTACTGTTGAATATTCTTGAACCAAGAGACTTTGAACGGTGACCTGACTTTTCTTGAGCACGCAATGAAGTTTGATGAGGTCGCGTACATTAAGAGATGAATTGGCATCTTCAAGCAATGCCCACGACCAGCTTGAGGAGGACGTAGCACAGTTTTGTTTTGCTTGTGAGAAGTAGCCATGTTATATTTCAGTCGAACCTTCTAGCTGTCCATCACTGGCATTTGATCTGAATTCCTCGAAACTATCAGCTTCGGCATCGATTTCAATCTGGCTGCTCAATTTTGCAACGATGCAATCTTGCAGACAAAATTGGAGGTTGCGAAGCAGCTGCGAAGAGAGCTAGCAGCCAAAGATCAGAAACTTGCGCAGTGTGGAGCTGATTCCTTGTTTCAAGTTCAAGAGGATCAGGAAGGCATTTAGGATTCAGGAGTGTTCAAGGTTGACGAGAGCAAATCACAAACAACTCCAATCAGAGGGAGCATCAAGCCTCCTATAAGATAGTTTTGGCAGCGCTGGAGGTTGCAAAGTCAGCCGCAACGAATATCAGAAGAAGCCATTGACTTCCAGGCACAGCTGTTTCAATCTGGGCGCCTCGTATGAGGACAGCCAAGGTGGCATGAAGTGATTGTGGTGGCCTGCAGAGGCCCAGAGGGATTATGCACTCAGCGAACTGAAAGCAGCAAACCAAGTGGCCGAGGCTGGAAGTCTCGGGTCACTACGGTCACCAAAAATCGTCCAAAAATGCAAAATGAAGCGCGCTCGAGAATATGTAAGGTCTTAAGGCAGATTTTCAGGTGATACACAGCTGCTTGGAATATGCTTGGACTAAGAAAACTTGTGGGAAGGCCCTGAAATCAACTTCAAATGTCCTGGACAAGCGGCGGAAGCCGCGTCGGTGAGCTCCTCAGGATTGAGATCAATGAAGTGCTCAATGAGACAAGAGTTTTGCGCGTTATTTGCTCGGATTTTCCCAGTGATTTGCAATTCTCAAAGGCGCAAGATATCATTTCCAGTGAATTGCTGATCCTAAAAGGTTGATCTGCATGGCACGTGTAGATACCTTGGATTGCACATTTGCATGCCGGACCACGCTCACGCTGTCAAGACTTACTGTCAGAAACAGCAAGCAGAGTGATTGGGGGCTCCGTCAAATTCCCCCCCCGTCAAGTTGGATCACACACACACACACATATATATATATATATTCATATGGCTATGGATCAATACCTATAAATAGTATTTTTATGGAGATGAACATCCATTTACCAGCTATTTTGATATTCACCAGGGGTATAAGGTTTTGACCTATAACCATATATGGTCATTGATACAGTAAAACAATGTACTTCAGTCTCTCGAACGTAACCAGCCCCGACATTTTTGATATGCGTGGGCATGACTGCGGGCCTTTCTCATGGCGCAGAGTTGGGATCAAGGCTGGTGGAAAATTGCTGATCGATTGTTTATTGATGTATACATATATTTATGTACATACATACCTACCTACATACATACATACATAGATAGATAGCTGTACACACACATATATATATATGTATATATATATATATGTATGTATATATATATGTATATATATATGTATATATATATGTATATATATGTACATATATATGAATGGTTAAATGTATATTGGTGTCCAAGACAGAACTTAGCCAACATCTTCCGAGACACATGAGCCCCTTGGCCTATGACTTTGGATTGTTCTCGATGCGAGGGCTGAACTTGTCGATATTGCTGAGCTGAATCTGCAGAATGGTGAACGAAGCTTGGTAGAACTTGAAAAGTGGTCAGGAAACTACTTATAGTATAAATTATAGTTGAAAGATGTTTAATGTTGTCTTAGATTTTACCTTTTTTAAAGGGGTGCATTCTCCGTGGAGAATTTGTGATTTTTGACCCGCAGAGACTGGAGCCTCAGCCTCTGAAGCGGAGCCAAGGCGCAAAATGTGACCTCTTTGAAGGCGACAGATCTTCCAGCAACAGTTGATGAGGCAACGCACCAACTGTGCCAAAGCGAAGCCAGCGAAGCTGTGATCGAAGGAAGTTTAGAAGTCAAACTTCTGACAATATGGACAGATGGAAAAGCAGAGGTGGCAGAGTCAGAGAGGAGAAGAGAAGAAGAGAGAAGATCAGAGAAGAGAAAGAGTCAGAAGAAAGAAGATGCAGGTGCGCGAAAAAGGCAGAAAAGTCGCGATTCACTGTGTTTTTCCAATGATTTGTGGTTCCGGAGGGTCGAAAAGTAGGCTCGCTGAAGCGGCGATTGCGGAGCAATCTGGCCAGATGAGAGATGAGAAAGTGCACGCCGTTGTGGCGCGAAGCACATTTCGAAGTCAAAAGCGTTAAAAACTGACAGGTTCGGACCACTTTGTTGAGATGTTTAAAAAGTGCACGCGGTTGTGGCGCGAAGCACATTTGGAAGCCAAAAGTGTTAAAAACTGACGGGTTCGGACCACTTTTTGAAGTTGAGATGTTGAACGTTGTGGCGCGAAGCACATCTCGAAGTCAAAATGTACAAAGCACACTACGTTCAGAGCACTTTTGGAAGTTGATATGTTCAAACAGTGTACGCCGTTGTGGCGCGAAGTCAGAATGCTCAAAACACCACATGCTTGCGCCACTTTTGGACGTTGAAGCGTCGTTTGTGTGGCAGGCACCCGGGATTCTGCACCTTTCCAAGAGTGAGCAAAACGTGAGGGTTTTGTAGCAGGTCTAAAAACGATGGCAGGTTGTGACATTTGAAGAGGATCTGCAAAGATGGATTGGATTTGGCGTGGCGGGCGCAGTACAAGAGACATGTTCATCAGAGATGTTAGGCGGTCAGTGATTTCCTGTGAGGGGTTGCATTTTGGAGCATCAGATCGTCAAGTTTACAAAGATGATTTTGCGTCACAGGTGCAGCACTTTGTATGACTTGGCATCACTTTTTCGTGGCAGGCGCAGTACTTTAGACAGATAGAGCGGAAAAATTGCAAAAACGCATTGGTACGAGGCCGTCTGCGTTCAACTTTCCATTCTGGAAGGAAGTCTCGCAGAATTGCGTCGTTTTTGATGTTGTCATCTTGAAACATTGAGGAAGTCTTACAGAATTCTTTCGCTTTCGATGTTGTCAAGTCCAAGAATTGAGGAAGCCTCGCAGAATTGCTGCGTTTTGACGCTGTCAAGTTCAAACATTGAGGAAGTCTAGCAGAACTACAACTACAACTGCAACTACACGAGCTACACTACACTAATTGCAATACACTACGCTACACTACACTAGATCTGACTAGACTAGACCAGAATATACTAGACTACGCTACACTAAACTATGCTACGCTACACTACGCTACACTACACCACGCTACGCTACACTACACTAGACTGCGCTACACTACATTACACTACGCTAACTACAAACTACAAACTACACAAACTACAACTACAACTACAGCTACCACTACACTACTTTACATCACACTACACTAGACCACGCTACAGCACACAACACTACGGCACACTACACTACACTACATTACATTACACTACGCTCATTACACCACACCACAACTACAACTGCAACTACACTACGCAAATTACACTACACTACAGCTACAACTCCAATACACTACAACTGCAACTACAACTACAGCTGCACTACACCAAACTACATCCAGCAGTTGTGGGTGAGGTGACCACTGCAACCAGTGCAGCCACTCCAAAAAAAACACAGCTCCAACCACCTTTCGGTCCAGAAGTGGATTCGCTCTGCCATCCAAGCATCACAACAACTCACCTCTTCTATAGTGTCCTATCTTTGAAACTTCCGCCACCGCCTTGTGCGGCACTACTGGTATCTGTGGTATCTAGTGATATCTGTTGATATTTGTCATATCAGAATCATATCTGTTTTTGGATTTATGGATTTCATTTGATATTCAATATATTTCATATGAATTTCAAATCCCTTCGACAGCCAGCCCTGCACAGGCAGAGCTGCGTTTGATCTTCGGTCGGGATATGGTCTCTGTACAGCTCCCTCGCAGTTCCACAGGAGGGAATTGCAACTTAGATTTGCAAAATGTGACTGCAGAGCTGCCAATCTTTGGAAGTTTTGCAAGACATTTTCATATGTGAAAATTGCATCAAAATATCGATTATGATCCAAGGCGTTTTACGACTTTTGATGATTTTGATGACAGAAGGTGGACCATCGCTGACCTTCCTATTCGGACATCTTACTTTGAGGTGGATATGCCATTCTTGGCTTCGCTTCGCCTGAAAGTGCAGAGCGGGCGATGCGCCAGAATGGACAACGTCTTCCCAATCGGAAGGTCGGCGCATGAGAAACCACTAGAAACAGGACCTTTTTATATTTTTTTCTAGTTCCTCACCATTCTTGCAACATTTTTTTGGATTTTTCGTTTCTTGGAAGTTTCTTGTTTTTTTATTGTCATTTTATTGTGTCCTTCTAACACCAGGTTGCTCTCCGCTTGGCACCATGCAGCACCGTCTCAGGCAAAGCTGATCATAGTTCCGACCATTGCACGAATTGCCCTGAGTGAATGCATAAAATACAGGTGTTTTTATGTGGGTGTTTCATGGTGTTTCCAAAAATAGGGGATCCCTAAAATGGTTGGTTTACAATGGAAAATCTTATTAAAATGGATGATTTACGGGTACCACCTTTTCAGGAAATCTCCATGTCGGTATAAGTCTTGTGTCAAACAACAAGAGGTCAAGTTTAGTATCAAGACTTGTGCCAAAAACGATCGCGAAGTTTGCTCTGGAACGTTCGCCGATGTTTCAAACAAGGGTCGCGGTGGTGTGAAGTTCGCGTCTCGAGTCATTCTTCCAGGCCGAAAACCATTGGCAAGCTACCAGCTTTGCGTGGGCAACCTTGGAGCGCAGGTGTCGGATGCAGATTTGTACAGTGCCTTCAGGTCCCTCGGTCGATTTGCTCAAGACAGAATGCTTGGGATGAATCAAGAGTACATGCATAAATGGATATAAATGGCATGAAAGGTGAACAGCCAAGATGCAAACGACAAACGCCTCTTGATCAACGTGAACTCTAAGAAGCTCGAACCTCCCAGGTCTTTTTCCGACATCGTGCTTGGTGCTAGAGTCATACTCTAAGTGCCACTGCTCCACTTTGCGCTAAGATTCGGGTCCTTAAACATTTGAGTCATTTTGAATGATTTTGTTAAGTATGTTAAGTGTTTTTTGTTGCTTTCAAACTTTTTCTCTTTTTGTTGCAGCCTTTTTGCTGTCAGGTTCCAGTTGACCATAGTGGACGAAACAGAGGCTTTGGTTTCATCAGACTCTCCGACGATGACGCCGCTGGGTCTTTGGCTGTCAAAGCACATGGGTTCTTGTCTCAGCTGCAGATGGCTTGTAGATACTTGTAGCAAGTGGTAGCAAGTGGTAGCAAGTGGTAGCAAGCGGTAGCAAGTGGTTCATTGGGGGGTTTCCATAAATGGGGGTACCCCCAAATGGATGGTTTATAAGGGAAAATCCAATTAAAGTGGATGATTTAGGGGTAACCCCCATTTATGGAAACCCATGGAAACCCGCATTTCTAGTTCGTTTCGTCATTTTCGATGTTATTGCTAGTGTTCGTGTGACACTCTGACTGCAGGTTCCAACTTTCTGGGCGAGCAGTCACCGTTCGCCAGTGCCTTCAAGCTGATGCTACTGCAGGAAATCGAACGTTGCTAGGTTTCTTCCAATGGAAACGTCGCTCTGCGTGCTTTCAGTGTGAATGATTTCTGGCACTTGCAAAGGTTTTTTTCTTCCCAAAAAGGAGCCTACCAGCTTCCACTACCACCGAGCTCAATACCAAAGAATTCTGTGTAATATGCCGCGCTTTACATGAAGCCGGTTACATTTTAATTTTCTCTGTCGCTCCCGAAGTCCCCTTCCTTCTCCTCTCTGTCTGTCGGTCTCCCTCTATCTCTCTTTCTATTTCTTTCGTTCTGTCTCTCTATTTTTTTTTCTCTCTACTTTTTTTGTTTCTTTCTTTCCTTCTTTCTTTCCTACTTACTCCCCCCTCCCTCCCTCGCTCGCTCGCTCGCTCTCTCTCTCTCTCTCTCTCTTCCTTCCTTCTCTCTCTCTCTCTCTTCCTTCCTTCTCTCTCTCTCTCTCTCTTCCTTCCTTCTCTCGCTCTCGCTCTCGCTCTCGCTCTCGCTCTCGCTCTCGCTCTCGCTCTCGCTCTCGCTCTCGCTCTCGCTCTCGCTCTCGCTCGCTCGCTCGCTCTCTCTCTCTCTCTCTCTCTCTCGCCCTTTTGTACATGATCAGATGATGTCATACAAACCTTTGTACATGACTCTGCCGGCTCAACATCACACAGCCCTTTATGGCCCTTTATGCAGCGTAAAGTCTTGCGGAGCATTCAACAAGGAACAGATTTGATAGACTCGGCATGAGCGACAGGTACAACACTAGCTTGGGCAGATCCACCCCCAGGCTTCACAGCTGAATACGAAGCATTGCAAGAATGGAAACGGGGTAAGACAAAAGTTTGATGGCCTACAGAAAGCACGCAGAAATCCAGCCGGTCGCATATTTGATAAAAGATTCAAGAGGGGAGATACACCGTGAGCAGATTACCCGCTTTACCAACTAGAGAAAAACAGTGTTGTCAGAAGGAAAAGCCGAAAAGCCCATCGCATACGGCGATACCATAACCACGGGAAAGTATTCACTTCAGAGCTTGACGCTATAGAACACAGGCAATAGAATCCGCTGTCCTTGCTACTTGCAGCCAAGGTTCATTAGGTCAGAGGAGAGACGCGACATGTGAGGCAGCACAGCAAACAATAATATCCCAGCAGGAAGTATGCGCGACAGCTTGGGGATACAGACAAATCAGCAACAGGACCAGATGACAACCATTTGACGCTCTTGAAGCGTACCATTCTTTGAGCAGAGTGGCAATGTGAACCAAACAGAACAAAAAGAACGTTCTACATTGGAAGCAAAAAATCATGTTGCAATTTGTTTCATATTATATAGAATTTTGTCTAGCGCATTTTTGACAATGCCACATCCTATGAGTCTACAAGACACACAATGGAAAGTAAACATGCTTATATGATGCACGTTTTCACCTCTCAACGAATGGCAAGGCAGGAACCGGCAGCACTGTGAGTAGCCATGCACCGAAGACAGTCTTGAAAGACCCAACGCAAGAGTCCTTCACTCAACCCCATATTCCCACAGAGCAAAAGATTTGGACTTTAGTGGAAACTCCATCAGTGACCTGCTGGAACAGACTCCAATACAAACCTGAAACAAGTACCTTGTGTAAGACATGCTTTGCTCTTGGTCGCCTATATGGAGTGTCTTTCCGTGTCTTGTAGTGGGTCAAGCACCTGGACTGCATCAAAGGCTGTTCGTCAGCAATTTGGAACCTGGTACGCGGGAGGATTGGCTCCGAAAGCTGCTGGGTGGCTTGGTTCAGTCTGCTTCAGGAGTCTTAGGGGATTGGACGAGGTCTTTGGACAGTCAAAGTTCTTCACCCCCCTCCGAAGCAATAACATCACGGGCAATTTAGTTGAGCTGTAGGCCCGGTAGGCAAACCAGTCGTGGACAAGAGCCAGAATGAGCCACACCCGACTTGCCAACCGTTCTCTGTTTTTTCCTGGAACCTTTCAAAGGCGTCTTTGGTGACTTGGACTTCGTAGAGCAAGGTGGACATGGAGGCTCTCAGATTCTGAGACAACATTAGGAATGTTAAGAAATGACCCACGGGTCACAGAAACCAGCGGAGCTAGCTGGACTTCTGGACTTGTTTTGTTTGACGATGGCACAATCCATTCCTACTCCGTGAGACGTCTGCAGGTGTGTTTGCCCGAGTTGGATTCAGCGAGGCCGTTCCTGTCTGGCTGAAGTTAAACTGAAGTGCCATGACACTACGTCATAATACGTCATATGTTTGTGTCAATCTCCAAAACACTTTTAGTTAGTGTAGTTGTGTAACCATTGGTTCCGGCACTTGCCAGGCTGAAGGTGCACTTGCAGCTGCATCCTTGCTCCAAGGTCGTGTGCAAAGCAGCCTGGGACCCAAATCAGCTGAAGTCGCCGCAATTGAGCTTTGTCTGTAGCCATTTTGGTCCAAGCTGCACGGCTGCCAGCTTCCACATCTCACCATTGCAGAGGGCACTCAAAATCCACCACGCTCAACAGATAGGTTCGTGAGAGATCAGTTCTCGGTTTTGGGCGAATGAATGGCGTGATGCAAGCCCCCAACGTTAAACAGGAACGGAGTCTGAAGATGGGCTGAATATGATTAAACTGGATTAACCCAAAAAATTGCTGATGCCGGCCCCCTTCGAAACCATACCACGCATGATGGCATTTTTGACAAGATTAGGTGGCAGCCCTGCTCCCAAACATGGCTCTGCCGCTGCTGGCGGCCAGATGGATGGAATTTCGCTTCTTTTTGTGATTGACAGAAGATCTGAAGGAAGCAATTTGCTGAGATCGAGGGGCGGCATGTTTGTCACGGAACTTCAAACATCCCTCCTTATGGTGGCCAAATTGTTGACCCACATGATTTCGAGGTTGTGTGCCTAAGCCCAGTGGTCTTCCCCCTGATGTTTTGGGGGGCAGCAGCGCAACGCTTGCCAAACAGCTGTTGACCATCATCACAGGACATGCGCTTGAACCTTGTAGTGGCCCTGGGGGGTAAGCTCATGCCGGTGACGGTGTCCATTAGTAAACGCGCTGCCAAGGCTCATCATTCAATCTTTTGGCAAGATGAAGTTGACACTTGTTTTGGAGGAAGGAGGGGTTTCACAGTTGACCAGTCCTACCGCATACAACCTCATCTTGATTACTGACTGACAGGAAGGGCATACTTGACTAGCGCGTGCACAGGTTTAAGCTGCCGTTTGGGGGCTTGATCCGTGTAGTGAGGCTTATCAAGATTCCGGGTGGAGTTGAGCTGCAGCAGGCTTGACAATCTTCCGGAGCTTGCCGCGAAGTGGACCTAAGCCACGCAGATCTTGCGACATGGGAGGAGGTGGCTATAGGAGCTTTTGTAGGTGAGTGATTGCGCGATAGAAATACGAAGCGGAGGCAATGTGTTCTGCAAGGCTATAGAGTTGCTGCAGAAGATTTTGGAACCGGGATCCCGCAGAAAGAAAGGAACAAGCGTCAGCCACCTATCAGCGTGGGTGGTAATGCCGTTCAGGCGAAAGTCGCGCTGTGATAAAACAATTTGGGATAATTGCCACGCAACGCAGCTAGTTATGCTGGAGATTATTCCAAAGCAAGACCTGCCCCCTAACAGCCTTGCTTTCTTTGGAAAAGCGGTGTGTTTGCGCACCAAGGCCATTGCACGCGTTGAATCTGTTTGCTTTGGCCGGATTGGGGAACGGCGCGAATTTTTGGCGTCGCTGATGTTGTAGTTCGCAGTTTGCTTCGTCGGCTGGTTCCAATTGTGGTTCAGTGCTATCTTGTTTCGATGATCCCCGCATTGCAAGATTGCGTTGCCCGGTAAGGGTGATAAAGCAATGCCCCGCTGTTCCCTGGACTTTTAGATGATGATGCGCAACACGGCGAATTTGGGGTTGCACAGATGAACATCTCTGCCCAACGTTCTCCAATGCCTTTGGATCCACATGCGGGCTCATGCCGGAATCTGCTTTCCATGATTTGGCTTATTTGCGTTTGTTGATTGCAGGGCTTCCTCAAAATATGTAGGCAGGCATAATGCACTTAACTCCTCCGGCTGATGTACGGCTTCCGTCAGCGCTTCAGTGTGTGAAGGAGCGGATTGCGAATGCCGCCGCTCTTACAAGTCCCCTGTGCCACAAACTTGCAGACTATTACATGCGCGAGAAGCGATGCACCGATGATTTTCGAGGGATGCGGCTGGCTTTCCGCCAACGCTAGAATAGATTCCAAAGACTTGATGCTTCAAGTTCCCAAGTTCGGAAGCCCAAAGGATGGCTACCTTTGCATCCTGATTTGGCCTCCTAAGCTTCCCCTTGGCCCCAGGGCCAAGACTTGTAGCCTTGGATGGGTGCAACACCCGCTGACGGATTTCAACTTCTGTGAAAGTCTTGCTGCGGCCCAAGGAAGTTTGCCGCTGCGTGAATTTCAGCTGCTTGAATTTTGCAAGTGAGTCAGGCTTGGCGTTCCATTGCTGCTTCACAAAAAGAAAAGGACTATGAGCTTGTTCTCCGCAGGAATATTTGCACCGCACCCTGGAATCTTGCGACGCAACTATTGGCAACTATGACAGCAAGCGGCGGCTCTGTTTGACATGATGTAAGCTTTGCAGAAAGATCGGCGGGATGTGGTGTCGGAGACCATCCTTCATGTCGGGTGTGGGCGCGTTCTGCCCGCCGATTCCGCGCTTGTGCTTTACTGGTTGTGACAGCATGCATCGATGGGGCGGCGTGCGCGCCCCCATGGAGCCCACCATGCTTAGGTATGTTTGTCCCCATTGCGGCAGCAAGGATGCTGCGCCGGACAAGGCCTTGCATATGAGATTGCCGGGGTAGCAACGCTTGTCTGGTGTTTCCAGCCTTTGCCCGCGTGTACACTGATTGCGTCAGGATTTTCTCTGACGTTGGGCGTTTTTGTTTGAGATGTTGGCCCGAACCCGAGCCCGTAACACGTGACGTAATCACATTGAGATTCATCCTGCCGAATCCTTTGATATTTTTATTGACAGCTAACTGTTTTTAGTTGACGTGTCTTACGACCTGCCGGTATCAAGTTCATTTGATACACTGATACACGCTCAAATGGGTGGCGCTACGAGTGGCCGCCATCCACGTCAAGATAATAACTAGTGACGTAATCACATTTGCTGCGCTTGCTGCCTGGAGTGGCCCAACATGGATGCCGTGTGGTGGTGGGTGCAAGGTAGGCAGCCGCGTGCCAGATATATTCATTTTTCGCGACGCTGGGTGCCTTGAGAATTGCCCGCTATAGATCCATCTGTTTAAGCACACTTGAAAACACGCCCTTGAATGGGACCAAATCAAAAGCGGGCGTAGGGGTTGCAGCGGCGCTTAGCCTAAGCGACGTTTCTGTTGCGTGCCGGATGAAAAAAACTGAAAAAGGATGAAAACGGGAAAAAAGGCCCATGCCCATGTTCTTTAATTTGAATTTTTGGAACATTGTTTGTGCAACGTTTTGTCGAGCTCTCACTACCTCTGCTGTTTGTTGACATGAGGCATGCAGCCGCGTAAAGATGCATAAAGTACTTGCGTTACATCTTTTTTGTCACGGGTTTACTTTTGGGTATTCTACACAGGTGCAAACCTATCCTTGCCTGCAGCCAAAAAATGACCCCTCGGAATCTTAAGGTGGGAGGCAGCTTCGGTTTCGTTGGGCGAAGCCTTTGTCCACAGACTGCCAAAGGTTGCAGGCATTTTCACAGCGCTTTGCCACTCCCAAAATTTTAGAGTTCCTCGGCTCTTGTGATATTTTCGCAAATTTTCATAATCCTTGGACTTAGTCGGTGGGACGAAGATGTTGTTCCAATGTTTGGTCACATGGCGGTTGGAAAATTGGGAATCGTATGTGTTGTCAGTGTTGTCGTATGTTTTTTTTCAACTCCGAGCAAGGCAAACAGATGACATGGGGAGGGAACTGGCAAAGTCCTTGCTTCCTCAGCCAAGTATCACCGAAAGACAACAAGGATTTGGTTGCGACCTCAGGGATGGAACAGACGAACGTAGCATTCGGTGGCAACAAACAGGCTGCAAATACAAAGCTGCGATGAACAAATTCAGTGTATCTTGGTAGATGGGTGATCTTTGGGACGGAAATAGGGCACAGATATGTTTTGAATCAATGATATTTTGCAGGCGGAGACGCAAACCAGGAAACATCCCAAAGCAGTTTCCCCGAGGCTGCAACATGGGAGTTGCAACTCAAAAATTTGCATCGATTCATTGTTTTTTTGTTTTTCATGTTTCATTTTTGACTCAGACCTGCTAATTTCTTTGCAATCTGCTCAGGGTTCAGCTGCCAAAAGCAGACGAATTGGCGAACGGTAAGACTCGGCAGCGGAATCAAAAAAGGGGTGTATCAAGGAACCGAGGTCTTGCCGAAGTTTTGTGATGGGATGGATTGGTTTTCAATGTGCCGCGCCAGATCTTGAAAGATGCTATGTGGATTCGTTGCCGTTGATCCCCGAAAGACGACGCTGCCACGTTGCGTTCGCAATGTGCTTCAGGTCTCGGCCAAACAACGAGGAAGCGCCGCCAGGCGGACTTCTCATTTTGTAGCGGAAAGGGAAGGAAAATCGGCTGACAAGTCTTTGTGCTTAAGAAACGCAGGAGCCACCGTGGGTCAAGAGATCTCAGACGACCAATGTGGCCTCGGAGCTTGGTGGTTCGAGTGGTGTAATTGTGTATCTTGAGCCACTGATCAGCCACTTCACTGTAACGCTGCGACCTGGTTATGACAGTGCTTTGAGTGCTTTGAAATTTGTTGCACTTCTGAAGTTATCACAGTGTGTACTGTAAGGTGACTTGTTGGCCCCACCAGAAACACTTGGGAAAAAGGCCGTCCATTGTTTGTTGATTTCCTATGCTTTGGCAAAACTTCATGGAAGTTATGGACGTGCGTAAGAGTTGATCCAAGAGTCGTCGGCCTTGAGAAACGTACAGATCTCTACTCCGCGAAGTTCTTCGCAACCTGAGACGTCCTGGTATGCCAAGTCATGCCAAGTCGAACTTGTTTGACCAGGTGGCTACAGACCGTGCTGAAGCGTTGCGGCCTGAATTGTCCAACATCAGGCCATTTTGCAATGTGGATCCATTTGGCCAGCCCGGAGAAGCCATGAAATCCACGGTGCATGAAATTGTCAGCTCGTGCTCGTTGAAACAAAACCACCTGAGGCTAGTGAACTCTGTGAACTCTGTGAACCCTGCCAGTCACCCAGAAACGAAGACCAGCACCGCCAGAGAATTTCAAAATTGGTCAAGTTACTTGACCCGTTTTACCACTGTGATAACGGTGATAACTGTGATTTGTGATGATCAAAATTGACACAACTCTCCAGGGCGAAAAAAGCTGTGTTTTTGTTGGTTCGTGACTGAGGTAAGTGCTTCACATGCGCCTGATGTTCCTTGGGCAGACACGCCAGATGTCAATTCCGCCAAGGTCAGGGAGTTTTTCTGCAGTTTGCCGATGTTTTTGGCTTGTCTCTTTTGTCATATGGGGGTTTCCATAAATAGGGTATCCCCAAAACGCATGGTCTATAGTCTATAATGGAAAATCCTGTTAAAATGGATGATTTAGGGGTGCCCCCATTTTCGGAAACCTCCATATGAGTCACAGTACATTCTTTGTTTAGTGCAAGTTTGCTATGTCAACATCTGTTGTTGCGCCAGCTTTTTCGTTGCGGGAGGCATTTGGCTCTTTTGCTGAAACAGGCGGGAGGTTGAGTCTGATGAAAAGCTGGTGATGTTGAAACAAGTTCGATTCATTTCCGACATTTCGACTGACCAAATCCACAGAACTGTAGCCAGTTTTGCCAGTTTTGCCAGTTTCGCCACTTTCCAAGGTGAAGTGGTGCTGTCCATCGAAGAGAGCAGCCTGGCGATGACATGAAAAAACTTCCACTTGACACCTTGACACATGGGATCCCCATTGGATCCCCCAGGTCCGGCGAAGCAAACCAGCGACTCCGGCGAAGCAAAACAGGATCCACAGATTTTCAGCGATCCAAGTGCAAAGGCCACGGACAAAGATGGGACTTTTGGGTGAAAGGAAGAGATTTTCGTCCCAAAACGTGGCTGCTGTTGCAGCTGCAACGTTTCACAAGGGCAATATAGGGCAATTTACAGTTCTTATTCACTTCGGCCTCAGGTATTTCAATTCGATTTCAGCGTCTTTGACTTCTTGAAACACGAGGCCTCGCCACCGAAAACTCCAACGCCTCATTTTGGCTTGATCGTATTGTTCATCTCATTCCACTACTGCAAGTGTTTTCGAGTGCTTTTCGAGTGTTTTTCTACAAACCTTGCAACACACCCCAAAGATCCCAAAAGTTGTGCTGTGTGTAGCAACTTTGTGACTGTAGAGCTAGAGCTTCAACTCCAGCAGCCTCAAATTCGTTGAGGCATTGCGTACACCTCCAGACAGCCCACTGGAAGCTTGGAACTGATCGAGATTTTCCTGAAGCGTTAAGCTTTGGGACCTAGAAACACGTGTCCGAGAGACAAAGTAAAAGTGGAGTGGCCCAGTATGGCCCAGTCATCCAAGATATCCAAGATATCCAAGACTCCCAAGAACAGAGTGGCCACAAGTGGGACTTTCGATTTGTTTTTCAGGCAGAGTTTCATGTTGTCAAATATCTTGTCTGATCCGGAGATGTGTCAAGGGTTTTCCCGCTGCTGTCGCCGAACTTTTGACTGTAAATATGTGTAAATATGAGTGTAAATCATGATCCAGGCTTCGGCTCTCACCAGATTTTGCGTTCTGTAGGTACGGTATTCATACGTCTATTATACATATATGTATATATAATATATAATACATAATATATAATATAATATAACATAATATAATATAATATAATATAATACAATATAATACAATATAATACAATACAATATAATACAATATAATACAATATAATACAATATAATACAATGTAATATAATATAATATAATATATTCTATATATAAGTCATATTATAATATATAATGAATACAATATATATATATATGTTAATATATAATATATAATATATAATATATAATATATAATATATAACGTACTGATCTATATACTGTACTCAGAAATATCTATTTTCATTTAGGGCTCAGATCGTCACCCATTCTTCCACTTTTTCATCTTTTTCCCCTTTCATTCACTCAAAGACTCTTTGAGGCAGTCAGTCATCTGATTATACGTTCGCTCAGTAGTGAGGCACTCACTGAAACACATCATCAATAAACAGCTACGAACGAACAACCCCAATGAGCAGTCACCAAGAAACAATCACCAATAGACACTCCTTTTGATTTATTCATGTTGATCCCTGTATTCCTTCATTCCATTCCTTCATTCCATTCCTCCCTTGATTCTTTCATTCATTTAGCAAATCGATGAACTTATCAGTCAACAAAGGAGTGAGTGAGTCAGATAATGTCTGCATCAAGCAATCACTAACAGCCAATAACCCATTCTTTGAAAGTTCTGCCCCTTGCCTCCTCTTGGCTCTACTCAAGAAATCAGATGTTTGCTTGGGCTGCTTACTTAATTCACTGACTCTTCAAACCAAGGAAATGGGAACTGATGCTGCCTCTTTCCCAGTCAGGCTTCTATTTCTTGCGTATCGTGAGTACCCTCTGGTAAACTAACATAACTATGGAAAATCACAATTTTTAATGGAAAAATCACTATAAATGGGCAATTTTCCATAGTTTTCGGTATGTTTACCAGAGGGTAAATTTGTGGGTCAAGGACTGACTGGACGGCATTTCTTTTTGTGCTTTCGCGCAGGTCAGATGAGGCAGCCACAGGCTGTCGTTTGGGCTCCAGGTTTGCTTTTTGGAGTCTATATCCCATGATCATCAAAAATCTCCCATTAAATCCCACCATTGAATTGATCCCATCGAATAGATGGATTAATAAAAACCACAATATAGATGGAAATGGATCTATATCCCATGAGACATATCCCATCTATATTGTGGTATAGGCTCCTTCGGGTCGTCTATAGATGGGGATGGATCTATATCCCATGAGACATATCCCATCTATATTGTGGTATAGGCTCCTTCGGGTCGTCTTTGAATCGACTTTCTGAAGTCGTCCTGCACGGGAGGCCTAAAGCTGGGAGCTGTGGAGGCTGCTCTGTTGGAGATGTCTGGGACCTGGAGACCATTTCGGACAAAAATACCCTCTGGTAAACATACAAAAAACTATGGAAAATCACCATTTTCAATGGGAACATCCACTATTTCGACTGGGTCATTTTCAATAGCTATGTAACAAATTACCAGAGGGTAAATGGATAATAAATTGACAAGTCTGGCTGCCATGGCTGGGAATGTGTCTTGTTTGGGTGCCTTCACGTAAAGAATTAAAAACTATAAAGTAACATAATGTAACTAATGAGTGAGATCAAGAAGCACATCAGCCAAAGACACGAGCTCAGCAGCTCTCAATTTTTACCAGAGACCACTGTGCACAAAAGGAGACTTCACAGCAGATGAGTCATGACGTCCTGGCCGAGGCCGCCAAATGAGGTGCAGGCGACTGGCCGCAACCGATCGAATCGGTAGCACGTCGAATGCTTGACCTGCATCGTTCATACTTCGAGCTTGTGCTAATGCATGTTACCTTCCGCGATGTTTGGGCCCAAAACTCATAGATTGTCAACAAGCTGAGCTGAGCACTTGCCTCAAATACAGTGGGCATTGGTATGACAATCAGGCAAAACACCAATGCATCTCCTCTGTTTCTCCTCTGTTTCTTGTTGCGCAGGAATGCTGCCACAACTCTTTGGACGCTCTGCTGGAGAGGCGGTGTGCCACAACCAGGAGTTGTGTTCAAAATCCCCGAGCTGCTGTAGATGCAAAAAAGTCTTGTTGAAGTTGTTCAGCAGTGGCACTACTGTCACTGTGAAGCAACTGTTGCCGCCTGCCTATTCCTGGGACATTGGACGAAAATCCATGGGCCTATTTTGTGGAAGGTGCCTGAAGAAGAGTGACACTCTCGGCGGGTTCTTGACGTGATACATGATGCATCATGATGCGCAGAAATGGTGTTTTTTCATGTCTGGCGGTCACAAAGAAACAGCTCATCCCAAGGCGAGATCAACGCAGGCAGATCCTAGCAACGAAAGCTGAGGAGAGACATGAGGTGCTCCACTTGATCCGTATTCTCCCACTGAAGTTTGAGCCAAAACATGGCTGTTAAATAATATGTTTCATAGTCGTAGTCTTCTGGTTTTCTCATCTCAGATCCTAAGTCAAACTACCCATATATCTTCTGTGAATTACGTGTGATTAGACCACCTGGCTGCTGGCTATTGTGGTTGTGTGAGGCTGCGCTAATACGTGGTCTGGGACCAAAGGCAGCTGATCGTGTGCGGAGGCATCTTCCGGCGAAGCTGAGTCAATGAGAAAGGGCCACGTGGTGATGGATGTGAATGATGATAGCTGTTACAAGTTCGTTCGATTCTGAGCTGATGAGTTTATACATGTTTATATATAATATATATATATATATATTATAACATACATATATATGTACATACAAACTCTGTACACTTCTGGCTTCTCACATTGTCATCCATATCATCCACATCATTCCACATATATATATATCGACATCATTATTTTGACTCATGAAAGATGAATTGATATGACGGCGCCCCTTGTGCCGTGCAGGCGTGATGTCGAGGACCGGCGTGACGGTGCAGGGCTGGATCTGGGAGAAATCTCCACCTGTTCGGCCGGAGACTCAGCGATTCGGCGATGCGAAGTGTCTTGTGTTTAAGGGCAGACCCTGGCGCAATCAAGGGATTTAATGGTGGTTTAATGGGATTTAATGGTGGTTTAATGGGATTTAATGGTGGTTTAATGGTGGTTTAATGGTGGTTTAATGGGATTTAATGGTGGTTTAATGGGATTTAATGGTGGTTTAATGTGATTTAATGGGATTTAATGGTGGTTTAATGGGATTTAATGGTATTTAATGGTGGTTTAATGGGATTTAATGGTGGTTTAATGGGATTTAATGGGATTTAATGGTGGATTAATGGGATTTAATGGTGGTTCAATGGGATTTAATGGGATTTAATGGTGGTTTAATGGTGGTTTAATGGGATTTAATGGGATTCAATGGTGGTTGAGTGGGATTTAATGGTGGTTTAATGGTGGTTTAATGGTGGTTTAATGGGATTTAATGGTGATTTAATGGGATTTAATGCTGGTTTAATGGGATTTAATGGTGGTTTAATGGGATTTAATGGGACTTAATGGTGGTTTAATGGGATTTAATAGTGGTTTAATTGGATTTAATGGTGGTTTAATGGGATTTAATGGTGGTTTAATGGGATTTAATGGTGGTTTAATGGTGGTTTAATGGTGGTTTAATGGGATTTAATGGTGGTTTAATGGGATTTAATGGTGGTTTAATGTGATTTAATGGGATTTAATGGTGGTTTAATGGGATTTAATGGTATTTAATGGTGGTTTAATGGGATTTAATGGTGGTTTAATGGGATTTAATGGTGGTTTAATGGGATTTAATGGTGGTTTAATGGGATTTAATGGTGGTTTAATGGGATTTAATGGTGGTTTAATGGGATTTAATGGTGATTTAATGGGATTTAATGGGATTTAATGGAAGTTACCCTCTGGTAAAGTAACATAACTATGGAAATCACCATGCTATTAATGGGTAAATCCACTATTTCTATGGCCATTTTCAATAGCTATGTCTGTTTACCAGAGGGTATTTTCTGAAATATATTCTGAAATACCTACCCTCTGGTAATTTAACATAGCCATGGAACATGGCCCATAGAAATAGATGGTTTACCTATTAATCGCATGGTGATTTTCCATGGCGAACTGTTAGTCATAACCAGATGGTATATCTCCTGAATATCTTCATATCTGAAAGCAGGTCCCAGGGGTCCTGGTACTTCTGACATCTTTTGACTCTGCTGTTTGCATCGCCATGAGAACTGCCAGTGTTGGCATCACGGTGCAGGGCTCTGGTGCAGCTTCCTGCAGCTCCAGACACACGACAGTGAGCCCCTGAGATTTTTTTTCGACCCAGGTGTTGTGTACAT